TCGTGTTCTCAACGGAGAATGCAAGCATAGCAGCTTCCAAAAATCTCAATCCACTGGGAAAAAGTTTAGGTGGGGCCGAGTCCTGCTTATCGATTGCGACTTACTGGTCTGTGCGTCTTTCTCGGTCAAGTTCGGTCAAGTTCGGTGACTTCGCTGCATCGACGGCACCGATGCAATCTGTGAACTCACCGGAAGTAACACTGACTGCCTCAATAGTTTCTGAAATAAATTGATTCGTTCTACATCATATTTCGATCGCTATTCTTCCGATACCACGGCTCACGCAGCTCAGCATCGATCCCGCCTTCTCTTCAGGAGATAATGCTGTGCCCCTATGGTCGACCCGACCAGACTTCAACACTACCTTGCACGTTCCGCAATTTCCGACCTCACAGCTACTTTCCAAGTCGCCAATATCACGCTTTATGACCTCCAGAAGCGTTTCCTCTTCGCTGACTTTGAGAACCTTGCCGTCTCGATTTGACACCTCCACCTCGAATGGATCGCCAGTCGTATCAGCAGCAAAAGCCTCGTAGTGGACGTCAGTGGCATCAAGGCCACTTTCTTCCGCCGCCTTCTTCGCCGCCTCCATCATACGTGTCGGTCCGCAAACATAGACGTGGCTGTTCCACTTGAGAGTCCGCATGATCTCGCCGATATCCATTCTTTCTCCTTTGGAACCATCATAGATGCGGGCACTCTTGCCAAAAGACTCAAGGCGCGAGCGGAACGGCACATCATCGGCCGAGCGGATGCCGTAATGTAACTCAAAATTGTAGTGGACTGAATGGTAGGCCTCCATGAGCGCCATGAAGGCGGTAATGCCGATCCCGCCGACGATGAAGACGTGGTTGCTAGACGCACTGGCAACCTTCACATCTGTAGTGATCCGACCGACCTGGACGATGTCGCCAATGTTGGCAGATTTGTGAAACCAACGAGAGCCTCCGCGGCTATTGTCTTCGAGCGCGATGCCCAGTTCGAATCTTTTGGGTTCGCCAGAGACAATGGAGTAGGATCGTAGCAGTCCGTTGGGAAGCTTGATCTTCGTATGGGCGCCTTCCATGTCGCCCTCGGGTTGAGCATCGCCACTGACAGATTCCAAAGTGAATGAAGAAACCCGAGATGTTTCCCTCTTCTTCTCGACAATTTTGTAGTCGCGCCATTCTTCACCCTTGTCCTTCGTCTTTTTCGCCTGGGCCTTCGCCTTGGCCACTCGCCGCTGGAACGCGCCACGACTCTCCTTCCCCATCTCTTCAATTTGCGCCAGCTCTTCGTTCATCTGCAAGTTGCTCTGGTCTCTATGCAGGAACTCCTGCACCCTCTCAATAGTCCATGCTGGCCACTTGCGCTCGACAAGCTTAATCTCGTCGCCGGCCTTGACAGTGCCCTCCTTTAGAACACGGTAATACCAGCCAGTCCTGCTCGTCTTGTACGTGTTCGGGGCGAAGTTTTTAAGTTGGAAGCGATGATTGAGCTTGAAGCAGGGCTGTCGAGGCAAGCTTACTTGGAGCAGAACCTCGTCGCCGACGGCAATGACATCGCCAATGCAAACATTGCGCTCGTTCATGTGCTTAGTGACGAAGTTTTCGCCAAAGCCGCCCGGCTGGAAACGATCTGCAGCCGCAGGGAATTCGTTCTGCCATCCGGGGTAGTGCGACGAACAATCTGGCGATTGGTTTTGAGTTGGACATGCTATCGCCGTGGGAGACGGTAAGCCACTTACATCCGTGGATCGCCTTATCGACACCTCCGTGAAATGTCGGGTCGTGCTCGTCATCCTCGAGGCCGAGGAAAGAGACCCGAACGGGTCCGTTGCGCAGGTTCTTGTCTATTCCCGATTCGATTTCTAAGCCCGGCATTTTCTTCATGGTGCTCGTGCGGACCTCTAAAAGAGTGTCGCTGACGAAAGGCGCTCTGAGGTCGACTTGCTCTGAGGCACCCATGGCTGCAATTGAGCTACTACTTTCAATGCCAAATGAGCATGAATTCCAATTGAGGTGTAGGAATGCGCGGAGAGGAACTGAGAGAAGTTGTGGGAAAGAAATCCAAGATTGGATCTTACCGGAAGGGTCGATGACGGCTAACCCGCGGGCCGTGTTAAAGACGACTTACACACGGTACCACACACCGTGAGACGCGGCGGGGTATGCAAGACTGAAGCATCGTCGTCAAATGGTGGCAGGGTTCTTTTGTAACGTAGAGTCGGGGATTGCTGTTGAAATTCCGTTTGTAAACAGCGGTTGACGCGGCGCTAGAGCACGAAATCAAGCTTCTGTCAATCTCGATCGTGTAAACGTCCCTACGGCCCGGGGAATGGAGACAGATGGCGCGGTTCTTCTTGATGTCAAGGGCGCCCTTTGGCAGGCCTCGAAAACATACTTATGTTCGTGAGATCTGAGCTGTGTCTTGTGGGCGACATGAGTGAGGGGTAACTGTGTGTGTCAGGCATATGCAATGAATTGAACAGGCGCTGGGGCTTGGGAACCTTTAGGACATGCCTTCTCCATCATTTGTAATCAGCAATCACCGAGTGTTTATCTGGCATGAAGGAAGGCCTTTGGAATAACATACTTGTCGGACTTGTAGAATACATAAGCGACAGACTATTACCTAAGGTACCTTACCTACCAAGGTAGGTGGGTGACGCTTAACAGGCATCCTGCCGAAAGCAGCCCCACAAGTCCGGACTTATGTACCGAAGGTAGTCGATCGGCAGGTGTGGGGAGCCCCCGGCTCGGGGTTACACAACGGGGATGCCTTCGTGAGGTTTCCCAGACGACATTCAAATGCAAGGCTGGGAGCAACACTTCCATTTCGATCATCGAATTACACAGCTTTGATATGAATGATCAAAAGCCGTGCGCATCTAAATGGCAGCGGCCATTTGTCCGCACTTTCGAAGAATGACTTTCAGGACCTAGGTTATAATTGGAAGCGGGCGGGCGGGAATCATATGTTACTGCGGCTGCAAAATACAGGGCGAAACGGCCCGTTGGTTAACTCCTATGGAAAAAAGAAATTGAGGCAATCTTTCTCGTTCAAGCTTTGAATACAAGTCTATAGTGAAGCTGCCGGACTTATCCTACCTTACATCGCCTATGGCCTCAAAGTCGAGGTCTATCATAGGAGACGTTATCTCGAGAGCACGATTTTGCGCCCAACCGCAGGGGATCCAAGCCCAAAGTAACACATCCTACCTGTGGCAGGTGAGCTGCGTGTCACGCCCCTCACTTCATTTTGAAGTTGTGCACTTTGAATGGTCGGTTCGGTGCGTCTGGGAAGGGCGTGTAGCTCGGCCCGAGTAAGCTGCTAGAGACGATGATGACTTGCTAGAAGAGCCGAGGGCCATAACGATAGTAACAGCAGCCCACTTTTGTGCTCTGTCGGATGCGCCATGAAAACGTCACTTTACATATTCTTCAGTGCTGAGTATTGTTGGCGCGGATCAGCGAATAGGGTCATGCCACATGGTGGTTCACTGTGGAGGACGGAATCAGTCTTGAGCAAGTCCATCCAACCGTGGGCCGGACTGAAAATTATTCGAACTTGCCACCACTGTTCAGCTGAGCCTTACAGTCACGCCGAGATTATAGGATCGGCGACATTCATTGCCCTGGCCCAAAACTTGATAAAGCCTATTGCGAGTATTGCGAGGTCCTTTTGTCAGACTGGCATTGACAGCGGGCGCAGAGTTTTGGAATTTCGGGTATAGCTGACATTCATACCGCCGGGGAGCCCAGATGAAGAATCTCAGCCTGCTCGGCGAGGGACAAACCCAAGGGGATGTCATCAACTGAGGTAAGACAAAGGGGGGCGCCACCTATGAGAAATCCTGCAAATCTTTCCACAGCCATACGAACTGAGATGCGTGTTAGGCGTGAAGGGCGGGCGCGTGACGATAAAGCTGGAAGTGGTAAGGCGGTCCACTTTGATGGTGTTCTGAGAGAAACGCGGAGCTGGCGTCGCCAGGGAGCGACGGATTGCGATTTGAATGAGGCTCAATTCAAAGGGTGGAATTCGCCGAGCAATGAAAAGAAGCGGATTTTCTTGCTTGTATGGATATGATTGGCTATTCGCCCCCTGCCCTGCAGCTCCATGCTTTTGTCTCTGCAGGGTTGATCCCAGAGAGATTGGGGACTGGCGTAGCACCATCGCTGGAATCCTCTACACGAACGAAGCCTCACCCAACCTGCCAATTTTCTAGGATCAGGCTAACCAACAACAGCTGCAAGAGGCTCAGGAATTGCATGGTCGATCTACCGTGCAATCAGGCTGTCAGAAGGGCAGAGCCGCATTTTTCTGGGAGGCATCGGACGGCCCTCGCTGAGAACGACTAACAGAGCTGTTCAGCAGTCTAGAGCCTGCCCTGCCTGGGATGCATGCACTCCACCCCTTTGCCGGTCTCGACTAAAACTAACACATGATTCAAAAATCCAATCCAAGTGCGGCTCTGCTGTGTTTCCTCCCTGTCGAAGTTCAACACGATTACTTGCACGCCCTCTCGTTCCCATATCCTGAATTTGGCCGATCCACGCCGTGGTTAGCCATCCCTGAACGGAGCCGCACGATTACAGAGAACGCTGCCCAAGGATGAGGCTGTACAAATGTCTCATTTCCGGGGATTGTATGCGGCAAATTATTGAAAGGTGCGGTTGAGGCTCTGCGGAACGTACCTTATAAAGGCACAATGGTGCTTCAAGCATTATGCACTTGGTTGCATTACCCCATCATGCACCAAGTCGCCTGATACCTTACCTAGGCTTTCTCTTTGGCCTGTGGCACGTATTATTACTCCGCCTTATGTTGCTGTGCGAACCACCCGACAACATCTTTCATTTTGCTCGGATGGTCTCTGGACGGGTTTACGGCAGCCGTCGAATTTGCGAGTATGCAACGGCTGCCTATCGAAATAATGACCTACATCACCAATCCTTTAGGTTTGCATGACATATTCAACCTCGCTCTTACTTGCCGACAATTCAGCTACTTGATCAATAATGACGATATCTGTAAGACCGCACTTGAGGTAGCGCAAAAAAAATCTCTGTCTGAAACCTTTTGAGGTGCCTTGCTGACTTGGTGGCTTAGACGCACGCTTCGTATTCAGATGAGCTCCGGGATATCCGCTCATCTAGACAATATGCCCGCGGCTTTCGTCGACTGGTCAAAATCCGAGATGCCATCGCCACAGCCTCGCCATACTCAGTAGCCGTCGTGGCCTGCGCCAATGACTTCATCTATTGCAACGGCATGCTATGCTATACTCTCGGCCCCGAACGGCTCCGTATTCTCGATCTCCATAAGTCTGGATTTGAGGAAGTTGTAATCGATACTGCCGCACTGCTTCAATCCGTTCCAGATGAGAACCTCGGAAACAATAGCTACAAGTTTCGCCCCATACATTACGCCGAGGGTATAGTGTCATGCCTCTATACTCCACCCAAAATCGAAGGTCGCAGCCGTCTTCTCGTGCTGAACTTGCATGAGCGGAAGCTCCTTACGTGTCATCGTCTCGAATCGCACCAAAAGCTATTCGTGCGCAACACCCAGAATTATTTATACTACGGAACACATTCTTTTACTGGGGATGATGGCTTCAAGCGATGGGTGTTGAAGCATTTCAGCATCAGGGATAAACAGTGGGGCTCTGGTCACTTGGACTTGGAGGACATCGTTGGCTCAGACATTGGAGCTACGGTGTGCTTCGAGATCATAGATGATCACTTTTATGGACTGTCAAGCCTATCCAGTTTCGATGTCTATGAAACGGATTGGACCTCATATTACTATGGGTTCCGCTTTCCGGTTGGTAGTTCACACCCGCGAGACATGCAGCTGACATCAAAGAAGAAAATGTGGCGCCGTCAGCATCAAGAGGGACCAATCGACGACAGATGGAGCACTCTGAGTCTCGAGAAGGATCCAGCCGGAGGAAAACTCATGGCCGTCGAATGCCGACGGGAATATCTTGTTGGCGACTGTTCGAGCACCCGAAGCAGTTATCGGACGGAACTCAATTTTTGCGCCAGCGACGACTCTGACAATGATCACTCTGACTCCGAGTATGACGAGGATGAGGCGGACCATCCATCTGGTTCTACGTCTGCAGCCGCCACGACAACACCAAGTCGAGACCCATCGACAGTTCACCGAGGCGATGATGGGTCAACTATCCCAGCAGCTACTTTTACACACTGCTTTATACGTTCTTATCACCAATCTTGCGAAACGTTTATGGATCTCATCAACGATCCTGCTGCCAGCGAGGCCATGGTCCAAAGACCACAGTTACGTTCGATATCCCGCTCTAGTCCGGCCGGCCGTCAGCAGAGCCCCGGCAAGCTCAGCCAGGTCTCCTGCTGGCCGCAAAGCACGGATGCAGAGAAGCGGGTTCCATCCCTCGAAGCTCTTGAAAATATCCTCAACCCGAGGGGCAAACAATTTCACGGACCGATTTCAGGGGCGATGGACGATCGGTCCATTGTCTACGCTGTCGGCCAACCCAGTCATCACAGCACACGGCCCCTCGTCTTCATCTCTTTCGACCCCTCTATTAAGCTTCGCGGGCTCACTTCCTGGCCTGGTGGTCCAACGGGAGCGCCCCTGGCTCTGCAAAAGCCACGGTCTTGTGAGACCAGCTCAATGGAATGCTATCCAACCCCGCAGTCGATGCCAGCTTCTGCGATGGCATCTCGAAATGCATCTTTTAGCGAAGGATGCATGTCAGACAAGACAGAGGCCGCGTGGGGTAGCATAACCCCGGCCATGTACTCGGACAGCTTGCGAAACATCGGAACACCTACTGGCTTCAATTTTGCATACTGCGGCGATCATTGACATCCTTACCGGCGCTGCTGCACAGACAGCCGATACTTGCATCTCGACTGACCGGTCTAGACACTTCAACGTTGTTTTCACGTGGTTGAATCTCACCATATCGACATCGAAACGGCTACCAAGGCGGTGATCATTGACCGCTGCGAGGTACTTTATCTACGTCCTACAGACACAGGGCACAGACGAAGGTGCCATCGATGGACATGGGTTGGGATTGGACTTAGGCTTGGGCTTCTGCAGAATCTCCTCAACTGCTGCAGGTAGCCCAGCTCAGCGTGACCTGGGCACGTCGCTTTGCACTTTAGTTTCGCGACAGGGGGTTCAGTTGCCTTGTTTTTCAAGCTGTGCGGCTCGTCCTCGCCTGGGAGCCCATGGTTCGCACGATAGCTGCTGTTCGCCTCACCTTAGTCTGTGAGCTACTGTCCTACCCCGGCCAGAGGAAGGGGCTGGTTACATTAAGCGAGCAACCGAGTGAAGGGGCCCAGCATGGCAGCATAGGTACCTATTATATCAAGCTTTGCCTTATTATTCCTTGACATCCCCAGTTGCAATAAGCCGCGTGGTGTACACATGTAATCAAGCTGATCTTCAGCATCGGGCTAATAGGTACGCATAGGCTGCCTTAGCAGCAAAGGGGCCATGTTTTGAGTCCCTCTCGATTGGATAGATGGAAGCCAAGCTTGCCTGCCTATCAAACCAGGGCGGCCCTGTCTCTGGATTGTTCCAGAGAGATGCACTTCATGGCCACGAGCGCCAGCCTGCCTTGATACGGAGGGGCTTGCAGTAGAGACATGCCTCCCCGTAGCCTGCTTGCCGTGGAACATCGTTTGATGTTGAGCGAAGGCAGGTGATTTATCACACACAAGATGTGACCAAAAGAAGCCGGGGCTGCAGAGACATGCATGTTACATGTCGAGAAGTCGTCGCAAGTCGGACAAGGGGACTGGCGGGGGGTTAGATTTTGAACTTGAGGCTGCATGCATTTACAGACAAATGTTTGCCATTGATAAGACGATCTGCAGATGGGAGCATTGGAACTTGGAAACACTGCAGAGTCTGGGATTGAAGCTTGTTCTTCGGTCGTGCAACTGTATCCCCCACCTCATAGTCTCCCACACCGGGCACCGGAAAGACAGTCCGGTAGCCACGAAGACAGCTCACAACACCAATCAGCCAATTTGTCCCTGGAATAGAAACATTTAGTCATGATTTTTGGGAAACAAAAAGCGAGATCGGTGATCAATAAACGAAGTGTAAAAAAAGTAGGTGTGATCAGAAGCCCATGCCCACTCTTGCAGCAATGTCCTTTTGTCTGCCTGTTGCTGTGCCTCCTTACACCCAACAGCCTCATGCAGATGAGGCTCTTGTCTTTGTGTCACACGCCCTTCGCAAGACTCCACCCGGAACTTTGCCCGAGGGAAAGCTTTGCTTGACTCCCCTACTTCACATTTCTCCTCCCCTGTTGTCCTGCTCTGTGTTTTCCGGCTCGAAATGACAAGCAGTCCCTTCTGCGTACGCCAAAGACCCCAAATGCAAGTTGTTTCGCGCTCCCTTTAATGTCCTCGCAGTCGTTCATTAGGCGCCTTTTCTGGCGCATGTATTCGGGCGAAAAATCAAAGAATCTCGTTCATTGTGAGTGATGGCGAAAGTCTGATTAACTATTCAACTTCACATAGTTGCCTGCAAATCCGCTATTAGCCAACGGTTGCGCCACCATTAAGATTTGTGTAAGTAGAAGAAACCTACCAGGGAACTGGCCGCTCTTGCCATTTAGTTTTCCAGTCCACCATTCGTTCTCATTCTTCGTGCGGCTGACAATCTCGATGATGTCGCCAGCCCGGAAGCTCAGGTCACCTTCTGCTTGTGCGGCATAGTCGTAGAGGGCGGTGACAGTTTCGGCGGTAGGAGCACCGCTGAGTCGGCTAGGCTTAGGCTTGGGTGGTGGAGGCTTCGCCTTCGACTTTGCGGCGGCGATGGCGGCGAGTCCAGGGCTAACAGTTCCTCCGTTGGTCGCAGGAGGCGAGTAGGGAGGAGGTGGGTTGGCTTCGCTGGCTTCTGCCTGCTTGCTGTATCCGCCATACTTGGATGTTGTTGTAGTAGACGCAGCAGATGACGAGGGCCCGGCGGTAAGGAGCGCTTGAGGCTTGCCGCCTTCGAGCGTAGGACGGGTACCGTACTTTACCGGAGGACGCTTCTGGCCGGTTGTCTTGAACTTTACGATGGACAGCTTCTCGGCTTGCTCTTGGATGTCGCCGCGCTTCTTGTGGAATGCTTCTAATACGTCGAGGGTAAGGTCGAAGTAACCAATGTCGCAGTGCTGCATCTTCTCGTGCAGTGTATAGAAAATGTTGAGTTGCATGTAATAGAAGGACTGGAAGAGAGGACGGATGAACTCTTGCTCAAGCTCAAAGAGGCGAGGCAGTTCTTCCTTGAGGAGGTCGTTGAAGTAGTTGAACTCTTGGGTGGCCTGCTCAACGTCGTTCTCGGCCTTCCACAGCGCCTTCTCGTCCTTGGCGGTCCGATCTTTCTTGTCCTGCAGCTTTTTCAGCGTCTGGCGGTGGCGGTCGTAATCGAGCTTCTTGTGTTCGCGCTTCAATGCCGTCTTACGAATAACCTTGACAACATCGAGCAGTTCGTTCGCGGGACGGATTACTCTGCTCTCAATCATCTCGAGCTCGGGCGCAAGGGTCTCCTGTAGGTCTTTGACAATGGCCTCGTACTCCTCGCAGGCGCGGATGCCGTCGGGGTTACCCTGGACCTCGATACTCATGGGATCGGACATGCGACCCGATATGGGCTTGTAGAGCTCGCTCATAGCCTTGCTGAACTCGATCTGGTGGCTGAGCATGCCGTTGATGGCCTCGAAGTATTTCTTGGATTCATCGTGTAATCGCTTGGTTTCGGTTTCGAGCTCCTGGAAGCGGCGCTCGGAGTCGATGTAGACGGCATCCTTTGTGTGTTCGCCAATATTGAAGCGGGCCTTGAATTGTTGCGGCGCCTATCGCGAAAGACCCAGCAAGGTCAACAGTCAGCGTGGATAGAGTAGAGGAGACGGGTGGCTCGTCGCGTAACGTAGCGGAAGAGACGGAAAGACCCCTCATTTGGTGGAAACGAAACACACGTACCCGAATGACGCTTTTCTGGAAGCCCCGGAAGCTCATGGCGGGGTGGAATTGTGGTGGTGATGTATGGGATTAGGAAGGAGGAAAGTTGTGCCAATGAGGAGCAACAGCGGAGGAATCGTGGGATAAGGTTATGACGAGGGTGTTCGCTGTCTGAGGGTATTCCACGTCCAACCTTATGAGGAGTGGGCTTTCGCAACCTGATTGTCGCTGGTGACGACGTAGGCGTGGCTGTGTCAGTCAGCTACCGCGCTTGGCTGTGGCGCATAGGGTGCCCTGATGCCGATTGCCAGGAGCTAAGACGCTGACTGGAGCGCTGGAGCGCTGGGGGGGACAGCTTTGGCGGGTGCCTTGACTGGAGCAGGTACCTTAGGACAGGTTTCGGGCGCAAGACGGTCGTGGTGAAGTTTGGTGGTGATGACGCTAGGAAAACGCTTGTAGATCCCAAGGTAGGAGGGAGGGAGCGAAGCAGAAGAAAGAAAGAGAATTTGAGAATTAAGGTACACCTATCCGAAGCATACAAAGCAGGAAATTGTGCAATGCGAAGTGAAAAAGCCAAGTGGGATACACCGGGACTCGAGTAAGTGGTTGACGCAGCCCAGTACTTTACTGCTATTACCGTGGGCGCCTTACCGGACGGGATGGGGGCTGGGTACCTTACCGCCGCATCATCACTGGGTACTTGAGGTAAGGAAGTGCTCTCTCGCGGTCGGGTTGGTCGCAGCGAAAGCGGTGGACGGGGAAAGAAAAGCGACCCCGAGAACCCGTTTCCACGTCCAAAGAGACCCCAGGACCCCGGTCCCCAGCACCAGCACAGTTTGTTCGGCTCAGCTCGTCCTGGGAGGCCTGTCACTGCACATTAGGTTTAGGTAATCGTGCTCATCTCGTAGGGCAGTGTGCGGGTACTTCGCCGGCCGTCTTGCCGTCCGGAGTTGTGCAAAAAACCCCTCCATCATCTCAGCTTACGAGAAGGGGGCCCTTCGGCCGACACCGACCACTACAGCCGGTAGCGCACTGCGTAGTAATTGAAACCACGAATGGGGGCGAGAAGAAAGGCTGTGCGTCATGATTTGGTGGGGCCCGGCCAATCACGGCACCGATTTTGACCTTATCACCGAGCCGAAATTCACCACCTCCTCCGCTTCTCGATCCGCTACTTGACTTTTTTTCTTCTCCCTCCTCTTCCTCGAAGGTCGCTACTCCCCTCTTCCGTACGCCATCTCCATCCAAACACATCATGGCTAGTATCACAACAAACGCCTTGAGGCAGGCAGGTCGCCTCTGCAGGCACTCAACATTTTCCGCGACTCCTTCGCGAGGCCTTTCCTCATTATCAAGGGTGGCGACAGTCCCAGCTCAGAGATTATCTCAGCAGCGCAGATATGTTTCGGAAACGAAGCGTGATAATGCGCAGGTTAACGTCGAAACCGCCATCAAACTCGACAAGAAGGACTTCATCGATGTCGTCCCTCAGTCACCAGATGCCTCAAACGTCATGGTTAGCCCCATGGCGGAGGTTCTGAAGCAGGTCACCACCATGGAGGAGGGCCAGCGGCCCATCTACCTCGACATGCAGGCGACGACCCCCGTCGACCCCCGCGTCCTCGACGCAATGCTCCCCTACTACACCGGCATCTACGGAAACCCCCACTCGAGGACACATGCGTACGGCTGGGAGAGTGAGGAGGCTGTCGAGACTGCTCGGTCGCACATTGCCAAGCTCATCGGCGCTGACTCGAAGGAGATCATTTTCACCAGCGGCGCAACCGAGAGCAACAACATGAGCATCAAGGGTGTCGCTAGGTTCTTTGGCAGGTCTGGAAAGAAGAAGCATATCGTTACGACCCAGACCGAGCACAAGTGCGTCCTCGACAGCTGCAGGCATCTCCAGGACGAAGGTTTCGAGGTCACATATCTGCCTGTCAAGAGCTCCGGCTTGATTGACATGGAAGAGCTCAAGGCAGCCATCCGCCCCGACACTGCCGTTGTCAGTATCATGGCGGTCAACAACGAGATTGGTGTTATCCAACCTCTCGAGCAGATTGGAAAACTTTGCCGGGAGAGGAAGACATTTTTCCACACCGACGCAGCGCAAGCCGTCGGCAAAATCCCGCTGGATGTCAATGCCATGAACATTGACTTGATGTCCATCTCATCTCACAAGATATATGGTCCCAAGGGTATTGGAGCTTGTTATGTTCGACGTCGCCCCAGAGTGAGGCTCGACCCTATCATTAGCGGTGGCGGCCAGGAGAGAGGCCTGCGAAGCGGCACTCTCGCCCCGCCTTTGATTGCCGGTTTCGGCGAGGCGTGCCGCATCGCATACGAGGAGATGGAGGTATGTTGGAAATTTCCTCTCTCAATTCCCCTACGTTTCTCCAACAGCTTGGATGATGATTCGCTTTACACATGCATGGCTTTCTGAATGTCCCGTGACAAGGACGTCCGTGTTGATTAATAGCAACCTGTCTGACCCCTCACCCATTTAACACCATTTTGTCTGTCGAAGATTTGGGAGTAGCATTGGCTGACAATTTCAACAGTACGATTCGAAGCGCATCAAGTACCTCTCCGACCGACTTCTCAACGGCCTCCTGGCTTTGGAGCATACGTCCCAGAATGGTGACCCTGAGCACTTCTACCCTGGATGTGTCAATGTCTCCTTTGCGTATGTTGAGGGCGAGTCTCTGCTCATGGCCCTGAAGGACATCGCTCTTTCTTCCGGCAGTGCTTGCACGTCTGCCTCCCTCGAGCCCAGTTACGTTCTTCGTGCATTGGGCAACAGCGACGAGAGTGCCCACAGCAGTATCAGGTTCGGTATTGGTCGCTTTACGACCGAGCAAGAGATCGATTACGTGCTGAAGGCCGTGAAGGAGAGGGTGGACTTCCTTCGTGAGCTCAGCCCTCTGTGGGAGCTGGTTCAGGAGGGTGTTGACCTCAACACTATTCAATGGAGTCAGCACTGAGGAATGACTTATGCTTCAACGAACATTACGCAACTAATCCTATCATCCTCCACAGTCTGGGTTAAACAGACCTGCAGAAAAATGGCGCAGGCGCATTGCCCACGCCGCATCCCTCCTACCTGGGTTGCCTGTATTAAAACACATATTTGAGATACCTACCTTAACAGCCGGCCTTTTGTTCTTGTGCTCAGGGATAATGGAGTTGGAATCGGGGCGAACGAGGAAAGTCAGAGTTTGGCTGGCGTCTACGGGCCGGTTGATTTCAACATGAGGATATTTGGGCCGTTGATGATCTGGCGTGTACACTACCATACCTACTTTACGGCACGAATGGCAAATGAGAATGCTCTCCGAGCGACGGCCAGATGTATTTTGCAGTCGAACCTAGCGTGCAGTGCCTGGCGAATGACATGGATTGTGTGTTTGAAGAATGCACACAGCCGCGAGCTAACCAACCTGGCAAGATGCATGCCGCTGGTTCCGTCCAGATCTCTGTTCAAATTCAAGAATGCCACGAGCTCGCCGTAATCCGGGACAGTCCAAGCATGGGCCGCAGGGCCCAATGCTCAGAAGTCAGGCACGCGGTCGCGCCATGCGATTACCCGATTGTCTGATAGCCTAGGATCTCGTTGCCAAGGCGTGAGCAGGAGTGCATCATCGAGCTTTCCTTCAAATGGACGCAAGTCTTGCAAGGGAAAGTCCAGGCTGGTCCTTATTACGTCTACGGTGGGCTCACATGGCCACTGCGACACGTCTCAGTGTGCCGGAAGACAAGTACGAAAAGGGGTCGGGATGGGGGCAAAATGGCGTTAGTACGCGTGCGTTAGTGTGTGGTGGTGAGGTGCGACTGAAGGTTGAGGTCGCGAAATGACATCATGGGGAGGCGCGAAAGATGCAGCAGCGCCCCTCCTTACGTTCCCCCTCCACACTGGCCCCTTCCTACACACCTGCTTCTGGTAGGACCTTCTCCAATATGACATCACTTTTCGATCAGTTTGGCCAGGCAAACGCCATCGCGACTTCCAAAATCACGATGTTCACATGCTGCCTGCCCCAGAGCTGAAGAAGCTATGACCTTTCCTTGTAGATAAATACCATTTTTCTCCCCAGACTCTGATGGATCCTTGATCTCCAGCTCAACACATCAACACATCTTGACAAGATCTAACCACACTCAACCTCCAAACAAACCACTTCTACCAATCCCTTCCATCCATCCAAACAACCCAACATGTCTGCCAACAACGACAACACCTCTACCCTCAAGTCCTACGTCGACTCTGCCACCGGCGCCGCCCAGAACCTGATTGGCTCCCTCACTGGCAGCACCGCCGACCAGAACAAGGGCGAGGCTAAGCAGAACAAGGCTGAGGTTGAGCACGATGCTTCTCACGCCACTGCGAAAGTTCCCGGCTTCACTGCTACTGCCTCTGGCGTGACCAAGGACGATCCCGACCGTGCCAGCGGTTCCTGGAACCAGACTGTCGGCTCCGCTAAGGAGACTGTCGGTGGCCTCGTCGGCTCTGAGGTACGATGATATCCGATCATTATTTGCTGCTCCATTTGACACCTCACTAACACACTGCAGAACCTTAAGCAGCAGGGCCGCCAGCAGAACCTCGAAGGACAGCAACAAGAGGCCAAGGGCCAGCTGAACGACTACACCTCCGGCATTGGGAACCGCGTCCAGGGTACCGTTGGCGGTGCTGTTGCCGGCTTGACTGGTGACAAGACTGGCCAGCAACACTACCAGGACATGCACGACGCTGGCAAGACTCAGCAGCGCGGTGCTGAGCACGACATTCAGAAGCAGGCGGAAGCCAAGCAGTGAGGGAGATGATTTGCGCCGCGATTATTATAAGTGACGGTTTGCGAGTTCGGGATGCGATGGAATTGATACCCCCCAAAACACGAGAGAATGAATATCTTAGTTAGCCCTGCAAGTAGTTGATGAAATAAATCGTCTGCTTCAAGCTCTTAGTTCATAAAATGCATTTGCTCGTGATATATTATGTTTTCATTCCGCAGGATTGAAAGACTCTCCTGCCAGACACCAGTCTGTTGCCGTCCGCATTAGGAAAGTGGGCTACAATGACCCTCGGCAATATCCCTGCAAGAGACACTGGATGTCATTAGCCCCCGCATGCTATGCCCTGCAGGGCATTTTTGATGGTTTACGTTGGAAAATCAGTCTGTAGATAAAGTAATCCATTATTGACGACTCTCGACCGTGTGTTGAAACTGCCTCCGAACCGATCATAATTGCGGGAGAAGTCGACGGGAATCTGATTAGTTACTAGCAAGGTTTGGCCAATGTTCTGCAGCTAGCGGTGATCCAGGCAAGCTAACAGTCCCAGTGACCTCGGGTTGCAGCGCAAGTGTGGAATGGCCCAGAATATGCACCTAAGCCCGCGCCTCTGACATCGCAGTGCAGCTGGAGTCTTCGGATGGCAGACGTTGGTGCATACACGCTGTAAGGTACCTGGAACCGAAGACAGGGCAGGGCATGGACTGACTGGGCAGAACACAACCAGGCGAATGGGCTGTCCTGACAGCGCGGCCCAGATGATTCACTTTTGCTGAGAATTCTCTGTCTTCATGGCGTTTTTGACCAACAGATCGCCTGTTCACCCCGCCATCGACGCGCCGTTTGACCGCCTACATCTGCCAAATAATCTCCCCCTCTTCTACAACCCCTCATCCCTGGCAACGTCTTCCACCGCCAAACCAAATGCTGCGTTCCAGACACAAGTTCCTGCGTTCTTTCAACTTCCGCCCCGCCACTCAAAGCATTTCGACACTTCGCATGCATCTTGGTGGATGCTTACGGTTCGTTGCCCACAGAACGAAACGACAAGCAGCGCAAAAAAAATGCCCGTCACCACGGGCTACTGCTGGTCACACGCATCCAACCCTTATCCCCTCGTCCCAGCAGGAGGGTCGGCCCCATCGGATCGGTCTCGAGCCACGTTCGGCCCACCGTGAAGCCATGCTGGATACAGAAGTCGGCCACCGTCTGTCCAGTGACAGCTGACGCTCCCTCCTGCAAGCGCAGGGGAGCGCGGCAACCGTGAGAGAGCCTACGAACGGCACCCGTCTTGGAGCGACCTCGGCGTCAGTCATTGGCTCATGCCGCCCAGTGGCTGCATGTCGCGAGAAGAGATGCAAGGGAGCCCGCACCGAAGAGGGGCAATGAGCAGCACGAAAGAGGAGGCATCATCAAACCATGCAGCATCTGGGCCTACCTGAGAGTATGTCACGCTTCCAATACCTTGCGCAAGTGCAAAGTCGTATTAGTAGTCACCGAGGATCCGTTTACAGACCCTAGCACTTGCGCACACAGCACACTTCGGAGACGGGACGTCTTCATCCACCACCCTACCACCGGCGAGCCCTTGAAGCCCTCCCTCCCCCGATTCCGTTTACACACTTGCATCGTCATCAAATGTTGCCTCCTCACGTCCATCACTTTCCGTGTCTTTCCCCTCCTTCTTCCAATCCATAACATCTCGCCCCGTTGGCTCTGTTGAAACCACCATAGACTGCAGTCATCAACATACTCACACCATTCTTCTGGCTGTCGCATATTCCGTCGCATCATGCTGTTGTAGTATCACCTGTTGCAATTTCCACACACGCTCCAACATGGCCGAGTCAGAGGCGCGCCAGTGGACGATCGTCCTTGTCCTTACCGCTCTCCTGCTTTCCTTCATCGCCCTATCCCAGATCATGACCACATACATAACCGCCTACCGTGACGCACCCAGCGAAATCAGCTCTTTTATTGACGCTGTCGACTTTTCAGTCGAGGAGAACGAGAGCTACGATCGCGATATCGCAAAGGTACAGCGCCTTGACGACAAGCTGCGCCTCGGCCGACTGCTCCGTGAGATACAGAGAGGAGGCGACGATTTACGCGAGCAGATCAATTCCATGCTTCTCTCCGACGACACAACCACTTTGCGCACACCTGCCCGCCTTCTGTGGGCAAACAAACGCCGCGATCTCGAAGAGCGCGTGCGCAGGCTCGATCTCGTGAGGATGCGGTTTCTCGTTGTGTACATGGGCGTTGTGGCAGAGAGGGCCAGCGCGACGGCGGAAAGACATGCGGCAACGCCGGTGACGCCGCCGCCGACAGATCCGGAGAAGTCGCTGCTGCCCTTCACACCCCCGATGATGCATCCCATGAAGGCGAGCCTGACGCGCGCCCTGACCGAGGAGATTCGCCAGAAGCCGCCGCTGAGGAGGCTGACTACCCAGGCTCTCGGCCATCACGCAGACACGCAGCCGGGCCACAAGATGGGATGGGCAGGCGTTGTCCAAGAGTTGCAAAGGAGCCCCAAGCTACACAAGCGGCGCACCTCCATTGAGCGATCGATCGAGCAAGAGCTGGCCAACTCCAGGCTGAGTCTCTGATCGGCCGGGGAGGGTTTGTCATCGACCTCGGATCATCGATGCAGACATGGGCTATCATGAAGATACGATTATCGACTTACGACTACAGGATACTATCACGACCTATGACGACGCAAATGCATTCACAGCAAGCAGAACCTTGCATGGCCTTAGTACTACGCTAAGAGCAGCATCTTTTGCGGCATCAGCATGAAGCGTAGCGGCATGTTTTGCGCGGCGCCTATTTGGCTTTCGCGTTTTGTTCAAGACTCACATAAAATTTGAATGACAATCATGTGGCGGTACCGGCGCTAAGGTTTTATGAATAGGATCAAGCAGTGAGAAGACGTTGTGGTTTTTTGGTCATGTTGCCATGGAGAGTTTTACTTCACTTCACTTAGATGAGATACCCCTTTCCACAGCACTACCAGCCCCCTGTTTTCACCCGTGGACTACGGTTCACTGCAATCAGCTTAGCATTCTCTTCAGGTCAATCCATCAAAGAACTTTCTTGACCTTAGACGTACCTCATTTTCAACCAGACCGGTGAAAGTCGATGAATTAGTGACTAGGCAGCTCGACATCATCGGGGCCTGTGCTGTTCCTCTCGCCAACTGTCCCCTGCGTTAGCCAGACTCAGAGTAATCAGTAAAGGATAAAAGAGCACTCACCATCGAGAGCCACCAAGAAGCGGCTCACGCAGTTGTAGCACGCAACCTGTGATTCTCATCAGCATCCGTCCAGGCCCCTGTCCCGAAGCAAACTCACCGTCGTAGTAATCTCGACAACCTCCCTCTCATTGAACAGGCCCTTGAGCACCGCAAAGGTCTCGTCCTTGACCCTCACGTTTCTCGTCATCTCATCGGCGTAGACCAACACGGCCCACTGCTGCTCACTCAGGACCTCGGGCCTCGCGCTCAGCTCCAAGGGCGCCTCGGTCTTGATGGCGTCCATGCCGGCAGTAGGAACGCCGGCCTTGACGGCGAGGGGCGCGTGGTGGCCCCATTCGTACCAGGCCTTGTTGACGACGGCGACGCGGGAGATGGCGAGCTCGCGCACGTCGGCGCCGATGGTGGTCTGGGTGCGAACGGCGCCAAGGAAGGAGTTCCAGCCGTCGGCGACGGGAGGGGCGTGCAGGAGGGTGAGGTCGAGGGCTTGGAGGGGCCGGGGGGCGCGGCGGGCTTCGATGCGGGATACGATGGCCGCGTCCTCGGGGGTGGTGGTAGGGGGAGGGTTGGGAACGTAAGGGAGACGCATTTTGAGGGGTGCTTGGGTTTTGAATGGGGCTTTGGCTGTGAGACTACCGGTTATCCGCGGACGTGATATGTTTGTGATTCGCCAGAATCTTGTCGATTGCATGAAATCGTCTCTCTATTGAAAGGACGGATGAAGCTGCACAAAAAGACTTGAGAGTTGAAGTTCATGAGCTTAAATGTTCGGAGGCGGGGTTGTAGTCTGGGTGTAAGTCCCGTCTCCACATCCCGAAAATCGGGCGGGCCGACGAGCTTTCTTCCCCTCACACTCCGGTTGAATGCTGTCCCGGGCGGTGTCGGTTGGTGCCGGTGCCGGTGCCGGTGGAGTGTTCAAGAGTTTGTGGAGAGCACGCGATTGAATATTTCGTCGGACGGGCATGTTTGCGAATGCCAAATGTCATCACCATGCCGAAGTGTTGTGTTGTTCGTCGAACACTGGAAATTTTGCCGCCTATGGATACACTGTACGCTCTCCAACTGGCGATTCGATCGGCAAGGACCCCAAAATGTTACGATTGACTGGGATTGGTTTAAAACGGTATGGTATTCTACCTAAGCGGAAGTAACTAACTAGCGGTGCGAGAGGCAAATCGTCTGATTGTAGTTATCTGCCTAAATCTTGGTACTCGGGAGGTAAATGAGAAAGAGCCCGCTGTCCTGTTTAGTCCTGTGGACATCATTTGATGCAAAGGGTGGTTTTTAACTTCGTAACTACAACTGTCTAAGCAACAATAGCTACTTAGTAAGCGTTGCTGGAGCTGCCGGCCCGTGGTCAACCTGCTGCACCTGCTTCTTAACCAGGCACCTTACCCTAGCTCTTTAGCACGTTTGGGGCGAGCTACCTTATCCCCGAGCAAGCAGCACCGCCCATCGAACTCTACCTACCTTACCTACCCCAGCAATTCATGGCACCTGGAGCCTGCTGCGACACGGTCACGTCACGTGTGGGCATCTGCTAGCGACCCACTTTAGTTCTTGGACCTGGCTCCCATTTACGCGTGGATTTTTACTCGCGTCGACCCGGCAGCGAACCTCTCCGATTTCAACCCCCTTCTCTCTGCTTCAACATCCGTCACTCGACCAGGCAGCGACGATGGGGGACATCAAAATCGACAGCAAGGCATTCCACGATCGCCTCTCGCGCTTCACCGGCGCTTGGAAGAATGACCTGCGCACCAAGGATGGCGTCTTCAATGGCGCCTCGTCCATCATTGTCATGATGGGCAAGGTGGAGGAAGTCCCTGAGCTGCACAAGAACAACGCCATGCATGTGAGTTGCCTGCCTCCCTTCCTGCCATCAAAAGCGGCAACCGCGATCGCGATGGAATTCGCAGAGTTGCGCTCACATTGCGAAAATGAGACAGTTGGCTGACTTTTTTTTCGTTCGCGACAGTTCTGGTTGCTTGGCTACGAATTCCCCACGACGATGATGCTGTTGACGGTCGACTCGATCTACATCCTGACTACGGCCAAGAAAGGTGAGGATGCGCTTCATCGAACTTATGCGCTTGCGATGAGCTACGACTAACCTCTTGTTTAGCGAAGCACCTTGACCAGCTGAAGGGCGGCCGGTTTCCCCTCGAAGTCCTTGTACGAGGCAAGGACGCAGCCGAGAACGAGAAATTGTTCGTCAAGCTCGCAGACGCCATCAAGTCGGCAGGCGTGAGTCATTCTTCATATGCGTGTTGCATTGGTTTCCGCTGACAATCTCCCCACAGAACAAGGTTGGCACCATCGCCAGAGATACCTCCAAAGGGCCTTTCGTCGAGGAGTGGAAAAAGGTCTTCGCCGACCAATGCAAGGATGTCGAGGAAGTTGACATCTCCCAAGCCCTCTCTCAGCACGCCTTTTCGATCAAGGACGAGACCGAACTGCGAGCCATGCGAACCGCGTCCAAGGCATGCGTTGCCTTGATGACCCCCTTTTTCCTTGAGGAAATGTCGGACATTCTCGATAAGGAAAAGAAGGTCAAGCACAGCGCGCTGGCTGATAAGGTTGATAAGAAGCTGGACGATACCAAATTTTGGAAGACCGTCGAGCTGCCCAACAAGAGCAAGCTTCCCACAGATCTGGATCCTGCTCAGCTGGACTGGGTTCTGGGCCCTCTGGTCCAGAGCGGTGGCAAGTACGATCTCAAGATGAACTCGGAGAGCAACGACGACGTCCTGCACCCGGGAACCATCGTCGCAGCTATGGGCTTGCGCTACAAGTCGTACTGTTCTGCTATTGCTCGCACATACCTTGTGGATCCGAACAAGTCGCAGGAAAGCAACTACAAACTCCTCTACAACATTCACAACATGATTCTGAAGGAGGTCCGCGACGGCGTTGTCATCAAGGACGTCTACAGCAAGGCCATGAGCATGATCAAGGCCAAGAAGCCAGACCTGGAGAAGCACTTCCTGAAGAACGTTGGTTGGGGCGTCGGCTTGGAGAATCGCGACCCTACTCTGATCCTTAATGCCAAGAACTCCCGAGCCCTGAAGGACGGTATGACGCTCGTCATCACAACCGGATTCAGCGACATCGAGAACCCTCAACCGCAGGACAAGAACAGCAAGATCTATTCGCTTGTTATCACCGACACGATCCGTGTTACGTCCAGCGATGCCGTTGTCTTCACCGGCGAGACCCCGATCGACGCCGACTCGAATTCCTTTTTCTTCAAGGATGAGGAAGAGGCTCAACCGACGCCGAAGAAGGAAAAGAAGGACTCCCGTGTTGGTGCTGTTGCTACTAAAAACATCACTTCTACAAGGTTGAGATCCGAGAGATCCACCCAGGTCGACGAGGATGCCGAGAAGAAGCGTCGCGAGCATCAGAAGGAGTTAGCTTCCAAGAAGCAGAAGGAGGGTCTTGCTCGGTTCTCAGAGTCAACCAGCGACAAGAACGGTACGGAAGTCAAGAAGTTCAAGCGCTTCGATTCGTACAAACGCGACAACCAATTCCCTCCCAAGGTCCGCGAACTGCAGATTGTGGTTGATGCGAGAAATGACACCGTCGTTCTGCCTGTCATGGGCAGACCTGTGCCTTTCCACATTAACACGATCAAGAACGCCAGCAAGAGCGACGAAGGCGAATGGTCATTTTTGCGTGTCAACTTCTTGTCTCCAGGCCAGGGAGTCGGACGCAAGGACGACCAGCCCTTCGAGGACGCCTCTGCGCACTTCGTTAGAAGCTTGACGTTTAGGTCAACGGATGGCGACCGCTACCAAGAAATCGCGACTCAAATCTCCAACATGAAGCGAGACGTGAACAAGAAGGAGCAGGAGAAGAAGGAACTAGAGGACGTTGTCGAGCAGGACAAGCTCGTCGAAATAAGAAGTAAGTTGAAGTCGATACTGCCTTACAAGAGCATGCTAACGTGTTGCGCAAGACCGTCGCCCGGCCGTGCTTGATAACGTCTTCATTCGCCCGGCGATGGAGGGCAAGAGAGTTCCTGGCAAGGTAGAGATACACCAGAATGGTATCCGCTACCAATCGCCATTGAGCACACAACAGCGAGTCGACATTCTCTTCTCCAACGTCCGCCACCTCTTCTTCCAGCCATGCCAACATGAGTTGATCGTCATTATTCACATTCACTTGAAGGACCCTATCATGGTCGCCAACAAGAAGAAGACAAAGGATGTCCAGTTTTACCGCGAGGCAACGGATATTCAATTCGACGAGACGGGCAACCGCAAGAGGAAGTACAGATACGGTGACGAGGATGAATTCGAACAAGAACAAGAAGAGCGTCGCCGCCGCGCTGAACTTGATCGTCTGTTCCAAGGCTTCGCCCAAAAGATCGCCGAGGCTGGCAAGAACGAAGGTATCGAGGTTGATGTGCCCATCAGAGAACTTGGTTTCCACGGTGTGCCATTCCGAAGCAACGTCTTCATCCAACCCACGACCGAGTGCTTGATCCAAGTCGTCGAGCCGCCATTCATGGTCGTCACTCTGGATGATATTGAAGTCGCCCACTTGGAACGTGTCCAATTCGGCCTCAAGAACTTTGATCTTGTATTTGTCTTCAAGGACTTCACCCGCGCGCCATACCATGTCAACACAATTCCAGTCGAGTTCCTGGACCACGTTAAGGAATTCTTGGATTCGTCAGACATTGCTTACTCGGAGGGTCCTCTCAACCTGAACTGGCCGACCATCATGAAGACGGTCACAGCCGACACTCACCAGTTCTTCATTGATGGCGGATGGTCTTTCCTGCAGGCTGAGTCTGACGACGAGGGCGGCGAAGAAGAAGAGGAGGAGAGCAACTTCGAAATCGACGACGATGAGCTCGATGAGGCGTCCGAGTCTAGTGAAGAGGACTCCGATTTCGGCTCTAACGTGTCGGATGAGGATGACGAGGGCGACATGAGCGATGAAGACGAAGGCGAGGACTGGGATGAGCTTGAGGCCAAGGCCAAGAAGCGCGATCGCGAGAGCAACCTCGACGACGACGAGAGTCGCGGCCGCAAGAAGAGGAAGCACTAAGCGTAGTATCTTGATCATGCGGCGTGATATCACCGATGGCAGACCGCAGATACAGACGATAGTGGTCTTTCCATCTCAGCAGTGTTTTTATTATCCATCAGTGTATCAAAATTGTGTCGGCGTATTGGGTCGCGAAGAGAGGGCTTTTGGTGAGGACGGGTCCGCCGCCTGAGAGCTTCAGGGCGTCGGGGCAGATAGCTTTCTTATTAATCTAGGATTCGTGAAACATTTTTCCGTTCTACTGTTTGCCCCCCGGGGCTGAGATGATTGATGTGAAAATAGTGGCCTGGACCTGTTTATGGGCGGGCCATGTGAACCTGCCAGCCGCGTGATTTTCGGCTGTCATACAACAAGCAAGCTCTCTCACTCGATCAAACTGACGCCCAAAGCAATGGTTTAAATATGATCGAATTGCTAATCTAAGCTCAATTCCTTCCAAACTCCAAAATCCCTATGGTAGGCTAAAGACGGTCGGTTTTAGGGTTGTCTACCTCGCCTTCAGTGCAGAACAAAGCATGGCCCCCTTCCGAATAACCCAGCCCGAAACGCAGGCATAAACCCAAATGAGGCATTAAGAACAGCAAGCCATGGAGCGCGAAAACGTCGAAAAAAACAATGCCAAGCCTCTCTTGGGCAAATGAAGGCATCTGAAGGAGGGCTTTGTCCGGTGTGTCAGAAGAAATGCCCAGGCCCCCTTTTACTCATACAATTTCATGTCAATCCATACAAATGCAGCATGCCAGCTCTGCAGTCCCGTGAATCAATGTGATCGTCGACCCTCTAGATACGACAGTGGAGAAACCATGCGTTGCCGTCCAACTGACGATGCGGTAACACTCGGCGCCACTGATGCCGGCTCAGAGGGCGAGGTGGCATTGGAAACGGAACGAAGAGGGCGCTGCGACTCATCGGCAGCCTTCTAGGCTTCGCCGGGACGCATTTCACGGCCGGTAGCCGTCGCACCAGTAGGACCAGCCTTGGACCCCGGAGCGTTGTTCCAGGAGAGGTAGGTGTGGTCACCCAGTTTTCTGGGGGTGTCAGTTAGGGGGCTTCTTGTTATTGTACAAGGAGAGAACCTACCGCGGCCTGATGAGATGGGTGACAGTGAAGACCGCACCAAGAAGAATGCAGATACCACCGACCACAATGTATGCGATGCCAAGGAAGGGGTTGCGGCCGCCCATAATAGTGCGCGTCGAAATCACGATAGACTTGGTGCCCTTGTATTCCAAAGTAGGGAAGTCTACACCGTGTTAGATCCGCATGACGATAGTGTATGCTAAGTACTTACTGTCAGTAATGTTGACTTCGTAGGTGCCCTCCTTCATCACGTCATTGTCGTTCCTCTGGTACAGCTTGCTGAACGATGGGAGACCGGCGGTTCTCATCCAGACCTGGAAAGCTTGCCATTCCGCCAGGTTGGGTGGTGGGTTCTGCTCCGTATATTCGGGGTACTGGACTCTCCAGTTCGGAGGTGGGATGACCTCGTTGTATTTGTAGTTCGTTTTCCCGTACAATGAGGCGTCGGAGTCCCAGGCGATACCGGAGTTGTTTTTCATCTCGTACAGGGTGTCGTCTTGCAACCAGCGAGGGGAACTGAACGTATCGTTGAACATGGAATTCGCGATCAAGCCTTTGGAACAATCAGAAAACGCCTCTGCAATGAAATTTGAAACCCGGAACTTACCACAAGGATAGATTGGCATATTCGTGCCGTTAACCTCTTCCGTCCTAAGGGGGTCACAGTTGGAGCTCGAGACCTTATCCACGGAAAGGGCATCTCCCTTGAGCTGCTTATCCGAGAACGAAGCGACGTATCGTCTGTGGTTCTGGTAGAAGTTCGTGAGGTGGTAGTAGAAGAGGACCGGGGGGTTGATGTCCTCGGGGATGTTGAATTGAATCCTGCACTGTGTCGTCTCGTATGTGATGCCACCCGTCGTGGTGATATTGACCTTTTCCGAGGCCCAAAGGGCATTCTTGGTCTGGTCGCTACTCTTAAATGCGGTGGAAATATACTTCGAGTCCATGACGCTCAGTGTCTCCGTCGCCTCCTTCGCGCAGTCGGTATATTCCAGCTTGATCTCTTGCACCTATGCATTGTTTCTCCATCAGTAGTTGCTCGCCTTGGGAAGGCGCAAGCGGCACCTACCTTCGCGCTAGCATACAAGAGGAGTCCGCCGATGGGTGCGAAGATGATTCCAATGGTGAAGAAGAGAGGGAGAACCGTCTTGGGCGTCAGGATCGGCCTTGGATCGTCAGCTATCATCGCCACATGTCTGTCGTCGCGAATCTGTCAGAAGACTTACTGCCATGCCTTCAAACGCTGCTGGCGAAACGCCGTATCTGTTGAAATGTCCGCATCAGCGCAAAGTTCGTCGCGTTGGAGATTCCACCAGTTCCGCGTCGACCGAGGGTGGTTTTAGGAGGTGTTCCGGGGCTTCCACGTACTTGCGGGTCGGCGGCTCTTCTTCTTCTCCTCCTTCTTTCCTTTGTCATGCTGCGAATCGATAGAATCGGCGTGATTGACGCCTGGTGATGGTTCGGGCATCTTGGACAATCGTGCACTCGCTGCGCGCGATTAATTCTGGCGTCGGATGGGGGATTGGTGGTAGGTTGATGTCTTGGGAGACGTCCCGGGATGCGCAGGAGTGACTCCCAGGAGTTGAAGTCAGCCCGTGTGGCTTGGCATTGATGCACGGTTTGGGTTTAGCGGCGTGGCTGAGCGATCCACTCCTCGTCAACACAGAGCAGTGCAGTCAGCACCAGTATGGACGCTGTGAGCACAGGCAGGCTCTCTGGCTCAGAGCATATTTGTGCTATGGCGGCTATTGCGGATCGCTAGCATCGGAACAACCAGACGTATGGGTGGTTTTGCAACGTGTGGTAAGTATAAGACCTTCAAAGTTCCAAGCCTAGAAAATAGCTATTCAGCGCACATGCAGGATATGATTGACGATCTCTCAAAGACTATCTATCCTCCTGCAGAGTGATGACCCCTGTCAATGCTATTAATATTCTCCCAGACGCGTTTCCATACTTCTCCACCACCACGTCCAGATTCCACTCCGTGGTTAAATGATGAAATCTTAGGAAGATGAATTTGCAGTGAAAGAAAGGAGACCCATCAAATTGTGGTCCGAAAAGTCACCAAAAAACAAACGGCAAAATGTTCCGAAACCGAGAATCGAACTCGGGGCTATGCCTAACCTCGCAATTTAATGAGAGGGCATCATGTTGGCCACTACACCATATCGGATTGACAAACTCAGCCCAAAAGATTGTATATCAAGCGGGACCGGGCCGAACGCAACACTACCGACCCGCCTCCCTGGAGAAGGCAATAGCACGACGCCAAAGACAAATAAGAAATGCAATCACGTACCAAAAATTCTGATGTAATACTTAACTGGATTTCCAAATTGCGGATGTTGAGATAAGCCCATGCACGCAACATGTTCAATGATGGAATCGCCGACATTACGATGGGCTTCGGCAATACCCGCGGTGGATTGTGACCACTCTGGAAGCTCTAGGTCAAGGTACAGCAAAGCTCACCAGAGAATGGCGTTGGTATTTGACACGCCTCATTTCGTTTGCTGGATATTTCTTCATCTTTCGTTCCTTTCTTGGGTGGGTAATATGACAGTAAGAGCCAAGGGGTGTAAAATGGACAAGATGATCTTTCTCGTCAGAGAACCGTCAAGGTCAGTGACGACAAGATGCATGCGCAGCGCCTCCAGCCACTTGAATGAAAGCATGTCATGGCCTGTCAAGTACCGCGTAATAGGAGAGTGGGAGGCGTAATAAAGGGGCTACTGCTAAGCGTATGGTCGAAAGAATACCAGACGCGGAGTCAACGATGGGGAATCGACATCTGAGAGGCCGCACATACGGCTTGAAACGGCAGGTCTGGAAGCAAAAAATGGGGACGTCAAAGGCAGCTTGAGCTTGAGCCAGGCTTGTGACTTTCATTCTGGTTACACAGGGCCCGGGCTGTCTGAAATGGAATCGCAGTGAAAGCAGCCCGGCGGTCATAAGGTACAGGCGAGACAGATGCTGGTAAAGGGATCGGTCAGGTCTTGGGCACTGCCTAAGCCAGTGGCTGTAGCGAGCTTGATCAGCACCTAGAAACCAAGGTAGCCACTGACAGAAGAGCTCAACGAAGATGCGTGGACGAATGTACATACCTACCTTACCTCAGTAAAGACTGAGTGAGGGGCAGTTGCGGGCGGACGGGGAAGGCCCACTGAAAGCGCCCTGAAATTCCGCGGGAGGGCGTCCCCATGATGACATGGCCGAAACCAGGGACCCAGGGTGGACTGTGTGAGGGTGTGTGTGGCCCAGTGCGGCCAGTCAGAGAAGACGCTGGGAGCTGCACAGAATCGCAACCGAAGCGGCTTGGAAGGGTGGAAGCTGAAGCCCGGACACTTCGGGCTGCAGGGAAGGGAAGCGGCAGCGGACCACAAGATGATCTGTGCGCCTTCTAGAACTCTTCGACGGCCGTGAATGGCCGGCCGGGGCAGCAAGGCCCCTCAAAAGCTAGGACCCAACACCACCTGGGGCCCATCCATCACATCAAGCCTGATGCTGTTGCTGATGCTGGCTGTTTTGTAATGTCCAGTTGCTGCATGCCCGCTGCATGCTGGTTCTCCTGCTCCTGCGGATTGGATGCCACAGCTAGGTACCTTAATGTGAAGACAGCGAAGGCGGGAAAGTGGAGGGGGGGGAAGGGGACGAAGAAATGCGAGAAGGCGGAGGAGGGGAGGATAGGAGCGCCTTCCGCTCTTTCTCTCTTTTTTTTTTGTGCCCTTCCCCATCCCTACCCTGTCTCCTGAAAGGTAGCCAGGTTCCCAAATGTTACCTGTGCTCCGTGCTTTGGTGCTGAGATTGAGATTTGACTGGAAGCAGCCAACGTGGATGCGCCCTCCTCATTCTGTATTCGTAGTGTCTCCTGGCTCCTCCACTGTCTGTCTGCCTCCGTGCCTCTGCTGGCAGTGGTAACAAGCGTGGCCACCCCACCTCACCCCCGTCCCAGTGCAATCCCTAAACCGAACCCAAAAAGCTTCCCTTCCCTTGGCCTTCCGTTTCCTACACTCCCCCATTTCGTGCTCCCATCCGCCTGCTCGTCACCGTCGCCTTTTTCTTTCCTCTGCCAACTGCCCTCGATCCAGACAAGACACGCTTGTGAGGCATTCTTGTGGCCTCATCAATTCGTACCGTCTCGCACCCGGACAACAGCACCAGAACTGGAAACCCAGGAGAACAGAAAGCGGCGCCCACTTGCCACGCCCCTCCCCTCCCCCTCCTCGACTTCGGTACCTACCTACCTACCTTGACATACCTTACCTACTAGCCGCATCCTGCTGTTGCGGACCCACGACGTGACCTCCTCCTGTCTTCTTCTTCTCTCTATTACTGCTCCCCTCCCCTCTCTCTTCAATCTTTAAACAGCCATCCATCCCTTTTGCCTACCGGAAGCTCGTCTTGCTCGTCCTTGTCTATACTTCTCCATCCCCGGTCCGGTCGACGACGACAGCTGCACGCCTCAACATCTGTGGGTTATATCAACATTGCTGCTGTTGAGCTTGCGCCTCAATCCACCGTCTCCCGCTAGCTAGCTTCGTTGGCTACACCTTTGGTAAGTGGAAGCTCCCTTCGACCATCAGGCCGACTTTAGCCCAGATTCGATAGTTCCAGCATCATCTCCTCTCATGTTTCCCATGTGTCTTCTTCAACAGCCGCATACATCCCAAGATTGCTGTGCTCCCATGTCACCGCCCCCTGTTTTCCCTGCTCCCGACCTGCAGTTCGTCACTGTTGCTGCCGATTGAAAGGCATCGCATTTGGACTGTTGCCACTGCCCTGCGTCACCCCTGCACAGCCAATTGTCCCTACCGATTTGCGTCAGTGCATCTCGAACCTCATGACCTAGTTGGCCAGGGAGTTGGAATCTGCTCGGGTGCTGGAGCCTGAGACCCAGCAGACGAGGCACCGAACGCACCAATTCCGTCGTGCTCACAACCCCACCAATCTTGCAACATTCTTTGTCCATCTGCCTGATGACCTCAGAGAGCAGGGCAACCGGTTACCATTCCATCTGCTGGTGTCCAAAGTAGCTAACCATACATCAGAGCTTCCCATCAACACACTATCACCGATTCCCCCCCTCAATATCCACACCCGCTGCGCCGACTTGCCTACCTACTTGCGCCAGATTGCACCGAGACGTTAAAGGCACCGAAGCGAGACGAAGTTCCCATCGATTGTCATTACTCACAAGTCGCCCAACATGTTCAAGAGTCCTTTTGGTGCAAATGCCAATCCATTTGGCGGCGCCAGTGACGGCCCTACCGGTGGCAACGCTATCCACCGTGTTATCGAGGAGGAAGAGAATGATACGGTCACGTCTCCCACATCACCGAACTTCGGCATGAACGCTGGCACCACATTCAGCGGTCCCTTTGGCGGCGACGCCACGGACGATGCTCCGCCTTCTGCGCTTAGAAGCCCGCCGAATCCCGAAAGCTACCCTGCCCAGTACAACTTTGGCCGCCGTACCTCGGTTTCCGCCGAGTCTCTGAAACCCAGTGCCGATTCATACGATAACTGGTCTCCTCCCGTCCACGAGAAGAACAAGGAGCAACTGGATCGTCTCACAACTGCCATCGCAGGCAACTTCTTGTTCAGCCATCTGGACGATGAGCAGAGTTCTCAGATTCTGGGAGCATTGATCGAGAAACCTATCCCGGCCAAAGGTATCAAGGTAAGAAGATCACTTCCACCACATCACTTTGTTGCACATGTACGGTGCCTAACGTAGTACAACAGGTAATTAGCCAAGGTGACGCTGGTGACTTCTTCTACGTTGTGGAGAAGGGATCTTTCGACGTGTACGTCAACAGCAGTGGAACTCTGCAACCTGGCCCCGAGGGCATGGGCCAAAAAGTCGGAACGATCCAGGCCGGAGGCTCGTTTGGTGAACTGGCTCTTATGTACAACGCTCCTCGAGCTGCAACGGTTACTTCCGCCGAGTCTGGATGCACCCTGTGGGCGCTCGACCGACTCACATTCCGCCGCATTCTTATGGAGTCGACGTTTGCGCGCCGTCGCATGTATGAGAGTTTCCTCGAGGAAGTGCCGTTGCTGCAATCCCTCACACCGTATGAGCGATCCAAGATTGCCGACGCGTTGGAAACCCAAAAATACACTCCTGGTGAAACTATCATCAAGGAAGGCGACCCGGGCCACTCGTTCTACCTGCTGGAGAGTGGTGAGGCCGATGCTTACATTGGCGACAGCAAGGAAGCTGTCAAGCACTACAGCAAGGGAGATTTCTTTGGTGAGCTTGCACTCTTGAATGACGCCCCCCGCGCCGCTAGTATCGTCGCGACGACGGATGTCAAGGTCGCTAGCCTCGGCAAGTCTGCCTTCCAGAGACTTCTTGGCCCCGTCGAAGGCATCATGAGGCGAACAAAGTACGAGAGCGTGAAGACGGGTGTCGAAGAGATGGATCCGCTGCAAGCGGCTTAAATGGAGTGGTTGTGCGTTTCGTTGAAGATTGGATGGCGGCTTTGGAAAGGTTGACGGTAAATGTGAAGGTTCACAACGGCGTTAGTGGAACACCTACCTTCGCTTCCTAAGAACATGGCTAGTAGTGAAGTCCAGATACCTGTTAGTCAAGAGTATTTTATTCATGGCATTGTTTAATTGGTTTTGAAGGACGGAGTTCCGGTGGTATCATTGATCTAGATGGACCTTGTTATTACAGATAAGCGTGAATGACATCAATCGTGAGGCAAGCAGGAGGACACCCGCCAAGGCAATTCAACCTCAGCCCCTTGTTCTCATTTCCTCCAAAACCTCCCTTCTCAGCTGTTCGACAGCAATTTCTGTCTCCAGTGTCCTTCCGACACCCTTCTTCCAGGTCTCCTCCAGTCCCTTCATCTCAGCCGCAACCTCTTCTTGTTGCCTCCTCCTGGCAACAGTCAAAATATCGATTTGACGCTTGGTCTCGGAAAGATCCCGTTCCATAGCCTTGAGCTCGTTCTCAAGGCCCCAATTGCCGATCAGCCAGGCATTTTTGCCATATTTGTCCAGCAGACCCAGGTTCTGAGCGCGACCATCGAGGTAAGCGTAGGAGGTGTATGCCTTGCGCAGCGAGTCGGCGAGGCGCTCGCGATCCTCTGCTGTCTTTGGCTGCCCAGAGTCTGGAAAGGGCTCTTGTGTCTGGTACCTTTCGAGGTCGATGACTTTGAGGGGCTGTTTTGACGCGACGCGCTCGAGTTCGGCTTCGATAAGGGGGGAGAAGGTAGGCTCTTTGTAAGCTGGGGCCGGAGCTGGGGAAGAGGTAGCCAGCTCGGCTCGGATCAACGACTCGGCAGCTTCGCGCTCAGCGGGCGTGGGCTCGTCATCAATGTCTGCGGGCGTTGACAGGTTAGCTGGATGGCGCAGGCACGGCAGATGGGAGATCAGCAGACGTACACGGGAGGGACTCGTGGAAGGCGTTTAGCGCGCTCATTGTGTTGCGGGATGACGTGAGCCGTCAGAAGGGGTCTTCGGGATGGTTTTCTGGGCAAATTGACAGTTTTGGGCGTCGAAAGACTGGTTGAGGGGAAGGAGGTGAAGCGTGGTATTTCGAGTCCAGGTTGCCGACGTCGACCCGGTGTCGCCTGGCAGCGACCGCGATCTGGTGGTAGTTCAGAAATTTGGGACGTGGACGCACGAGCCCGCCCGATAAGGAGATAAGTCGGCTACAAGAAACCAGGCCCGTGCTGGAGGAACTCCTGTGCACGGGCCACACGCGGTCGATCACTGGTCTGGGGTCCTGGTCCACTCCTCCTGCACTTCAAAACACGCTCAAGCTTGAAGGCAAACCATCCTTCGCCGCACCTAAAGCTAGCGGACTTTGGGAAGACATCCCCTGACAGCCATGTGTATGTGCGCGTGCGCCGTGCTCAACAGATGAAGTGCGCGCAGAAATCAACCGACAACAACCCTTGACAGCGATCGATGATGGGACGACGGGACCTGACGTGCATGCAGGACACCTGCTTGGGTCGTTTAGCTGAAGATGGGCTCGTGGATGGCTGGCCCCACCATGTCTTTCTTTTTCTGATGTCTTCAGAATGGCGCCTTTCCTTCCTGGTGACGTACTCCTTTTTGATGCAAGAGCTAAATCTCACACTTGTGCGATGAAACCTGGAATTGCTTTGACGATTTGGAGTCGCCGAGAGACCATCATGAGGGCACTTCGGGAGTCGGCCCATGAGGCGGTTTTCATGCGCCTTCACTCCTTCTAGGCACTTTCCATCTTCAGAAATCCAGAGCTCGGGAGTTGTTCTCGCATACCTTACTTCTTTCTGCTTCCATCTCTAGAAGGCAAGTCCGTCAGCGCCCGTTTTCCAGATTTTCTGGATGGGCTGCATTTCCACCGCGTGGGAAACTATCAAGTCACCGTCGTATTCCCTGCCACACCTCGCATCCTTGGTCTGCGATGATGGAGGATGGTTCTCCAGTCGAACCCGATCGAGGCCAATGGCATCCGTCAATCCAACCCGGGAGCTCAAAGCTCGTCGTAGCCGAGCAACATTCCCATTCCGGCGCTTGGTATTTGTTGCATGGACGGATCAGACGGATGGCCTCCCGGAATGCAACTCTGGGGGATCCCCACGGCCTGGAGCGATCCAGGACGGCAATACGTCTTCCGCCTGTCAGTGGTTCAACTAACCCAAGCTATTAGGACCGGTGCTCCATCCGTGCCTCGCCCCAGCCGGCCTATGGACAAGTTTGGGCTGCCATCGGCCATACCGGAAGCAGTGGCCCGTCTGCGCTCTGTTCGCGATTCAGCGTTGATCTTGACCCTCTCATCGCGAATCCACCACGTGAGGGGGCTAGAGGCCGGCCGCGCCTTTGGCGCTCGTGTGGCGTCCTCCTGGGCTGAACTATCGCAAACGGCATATACAATTCCATCCTGCTCAGGGTTGATTGAAAGGAGGTCGCGCCGCGACTCGTGGAGGATGAGCCATTGCTACATGGCGACCACTTAAATGTCGCCGGTCCGTAGCCTGGGCTGGGCCACATCCGTACCCCCTTTCTTCTACATGTTGACGTTTCTTATCCCCGCGAACGGTTCGGAAAAGCTCGTGGGATTTAACGGTCTCGATGATGCTTATGCTTGTTCTTTTTTAACCAAGCAGATACCCCCTAGGACCTCGGACTCTTGAGGCTCCTGTCACGACGGCGCACGACACGGTTGGGGAATTGATCGATTTGAACCCAGATCGGACGATACCATGAAGTCTTCACACTCCTTCGCTTTTGTGGTGTCAGTACTCCTGGCTATCACAGTACCTTTCGCTTCGGCCCAGAAGGCTGGTAGCATCACCGATGCTGTTGCTCAACTCCCAACATGTGCGGTAAGTCTGCCCGATACCTACCTGTCTCCATCGTAACTCACTCATATGTCTCTAGGTTACATGTATCTTGTCAGCAATCAAGGACTCGCCTTGCGGTCTAACCAATGCAACATGTATCTGCAATGATTCAAAGTTCGAGACTACAACCGAGACCTGCATTGTGGGAGCCTGCCCCATCAAGGACACCCTTCGTCAGTCTGCCATCGCAACCCAGAGGCACACGAGCACATACTTACATGTCCACAGATGCCAAAAATGTCTTCGAGGTCACCTGTGACAGGCCTGTCAGGGACCACAGCCCCGAATATGCACGGTTGACATGGACTATGCTTGGTCTTTCGATCATCGTCGTCTTTGCCCGGTTGATATATAAGTTCTTCTCGTCGGCACAATTAGGCTGGGATGACTTATTCACACTGCTCGCCTTCCTCGCCGTCCTCCCATCCTTCATCATCAACCTTGTGGGGCTCATCCCCGCGGGTCTCGGCAAGGACATCTGGACCCTGACACCGGATCAAATCGAGAAATTTGGTTTCTGGTTCTACCTACTCGAGCCCATGTACTTCATCCAGATGGGCTTGGTCAAAATGGCCATCCTGTTCTTTTACATGCGTATCTTCGATCGAGCTGGCCTTGCGCGTCTACTTTGGGGTACCGTTGCTTTTAACGCTGTCAACACGTTCGTGTTTCTGATGGTTGGCATTTTTCAATGCACCCCCATCCACTACTATTGGCAGAGATGGGACGGCGAACACCAGGGAACGTGTATCAACATCAACGCCGTTCCCTGGGCAAACGCCGTCATCAGTATCCTCCTCGATCTATGGATGCTTGTTCTTCCTCTTTCCAGAATCAGAACTCTCAACCTACACTGGTGGAAGAAGCTGGCTGTGGGTATGATGTTTTGCGTTGGTACTTTGTAAGTCCTCTCGTGAACTCCCCGTCTCAGAAGTCTGAGGCTAACAAAACCTACAGCGTGACCATTGTGAGCATTTTGCGGCTGCGCTCGCTCGTTCAGTTCGCAACGTCTCAAAACCCAACCTGGGATCAATTCGACATTGCGTTCTGGACAACACTTGAGGTCCCCACCGGCATCATCTGCTGCTGTCTACCCGCCATTCGTCTCATTCTCATCAAGACTTTCCCGAGACTGTTTGGCATGCTCACGAAACGCTACGACTCCCACAAGTACTCGGAAGACCCCTCTAGCGGAAATAACCCGAGCAAAAGCCGCAGTCGCAACCGCATGTCTCAGGGCCCTAACACGGAGTCCTCGTCGACGACTGAGCTACAAGCCGCCATACGCAACGGCAAGGGCATCGTCTGCAGCAAGTCATTTGCTCTCGAGACCCACGACTCAAACAGCATATACGCCATGCAGGACCTCGAGTCCGGGAGCGCCAAGAACAGCATCGCGGCACAAAGCCACAGATCGACGTCAATCTCCCACACGTCTAGCGCCATGTCGGATTACGGTGGTCCCGGACGCAAGCAGTCTGGTCCTTCGTCAAGGGATTAAGCTCCAACGCTGCGCTTCACAAATGTACACACAAATTCAGCGTTTGTACATACGACACTACAACTCCGCATGATACGCAGCCGCCTTTGGGCAGCAACATGTTGTGGGCACATGAGGGTTTCTTGTCTCTTGTCTTTTGTCTCTTGTCTCTGGTATGAGATGCTGTACGATGAGTATTTCCCGCGAACTGATAGAAGAAACGGCCTCGGCGTTGGGAGTTATTTTCGTTCCGGTGGGTTTTCCTTTGTTAGACATACCCGAGGGAATCATGGAGTCGTTGGTCTAGCATACGATCAGAGAAGGCATTCGATTGTTCCTTGGCCTGACGGGGAGGGCGGCCGCCGGTGTGGCCGTACCCTGTCGGCCGTTAAAAAGTGCACTGGTAGTCAGCCACCAGTACCAGTGTAATAGAAGATAGAGCATATAACACATCCGGAAAATTACACGAGACACAAAGTTCCAAATCATGTCCGTTTAACCGTTTGCTCTTTGTCATTCCGAAAATCGTGTGCATGCGGTGATGTCTCTCCGCCTCGCTTCCGCCGCCGCTTGAGACAAGATGCCCGATGCGGTGCCGAGGACGCCACGTCCAAGAT